CCCCCCCCCCCCCCCCTCCCCCCCCCCTCCCAGCTGTTCATGCTTGTGATGTGATAGCCTGGGACAGCATGTCGCCCCGTTCCGGTAGCACTGTAGGGATGCGAGGTCTACGGTCTAACTGCTACGGCGTGCGTTCGCTTGACCCTCTTGCTCTGTCGCCAGAGTCTACGTGTGCCCGGACCCCGATGGCGTCACGGCGGAAGCAGCCTCGTCTCTTTCCAACACCGCCCCTGGTTCTGGCGCTAGCGGCGGAACTGCCGGTGCTTTCGCGCCGCCTGGATCTACTCCCGCGGCCGGCGGGGCCGGAGCGGGGGCGGGGCACGGGGCAGTGGTGCTCAAGACGAAGCCCATCCTGCAAGCGCGGCTGAAGCACGCGGAGCTCATGTGCCTGGACTGGAGCCCCCAGGAGCCCGACCTCCTGCTGGCGGGGGCTTCCGACGGTACGTTTTTTTTTTTTCCTGGAATGTACCATGCATGCCGTAGGGAGACACCAGATACTACACCCCCGGGAGCCCGACCTCCTGCCGCTGGGGGCTTCCGACGGTACGGTTATTTTGGCTGAAATGTACCGTGTATACCTTAGGTGACAACAGATACTACACCCCCAAGAGCCCGACCTCCTGCCGCTGGGGGCTTCCGACGGTACAGTTGTTTTGGCTGGAATGTTCCGTGTGTACCGTAGGGAGACACCAGGTACCACATCCTCAGGAGATGGTGGGGGCTTCCGGTAGCCACGGTTGTTTGTTTTTGACATGCTCTCTTCGGGCTCCGGTTAAGCAGCGAGGAGGATTTCCCCGGCAATGTTTCGTCCCGGGGAGACGCTAGATAAAGTAACGGCCAACATTCGACTGACATGGTACTCCAGTTGTATGATACTTTTCAGGCCTTGCGACACTCTTTTGAGTGCCTGCCTTGTGTTGTTTTAATGTGAAGACAGCAACAGCGGGAAGAGAGAGCTGCACTCTTCTCGCAATAAAAATTGAAAGACAAAAGCACCGCAGGGGGGGTGGGTAGGGGGCCTGAGGGAGAGGAACTCTTTGTGTGACCACGGGATGGAGCAAAAGGGCGCAAGTGCTGTGAGCACTGATTTGAAGTGAAGACGAAAAAAAACTCTCTTGAGTAGCAAAGCACGGAAAGAGTCCTCCCGGGGTGTAGCGGGCAACAGCGGAAAGAGGGCGGTGCTTGGACCGCGCCACAAAATACGGTTAAACTGTTCTAAGACACTATGCCGGTACAGCTGGAAGATGAAAGCGGTGGGTGTTGTTTGGTCCTGAACAAAACCCTCTGTCATGTCGACGACTAGGCTCGGGATGTTTGAACCTGTCCCTTTCCGCCCCAAAATATTCGTGGACGATCCTACAACAAGGGCGACAATTACGACAACAAGGGCAACAACGACGACCCGTTTTCTGTCGCCCTTGCCCATCCACCCCCGTCGCACAGGAACGGTGTGCATCTGGAAGGTTTCCGCCCTCGGAGGCGAGCATGGGGGGGAGGGGACGACAGGAAACCATCCCCCCTTCAGGCAGTTCTCGTGCTCCGCGATCGGCATGTGTGATGTGGTGCAGGCGGTGGTGAATGATGTCGCCTGGTGAGAATCCGGAACTTGTAGATGAGAGTCCGCACTTTCAAACATCCAACGGGTGTACTCTGAACGCCATGGGAATGACCATGGTCTGTCTGCTAGGCGCCCAACGAAAAGGTGTCAACGTGCGAGCTCGGTTACATAGCTGGTGCAGAATATTTCGAACCGCACCCTGTTGTACTTCGCGTGGCGTCTTCGTAGCCCTCCCCTACAAACTTGAAGAAAAACTATAGTAACCCGTAGTGCCATACAGCAGCAGTGCTGTTTTTCGTAAGCGGGTAACTCCAATAAATGTTGTAGGTTCAGAGGTTGCTAAGGCCCACGCAACCTCATCTCAAGAGTACATGAATGCGGCCTTTCTCCCAACCCCTAGTGGATTCATCAACCTCCAACAATGCTTTTGAAGCAACACGAAAGCGACTTGCAAGACAGCAGCAGTGCTGTTTTTTCAAAGGGCAAACCCCTGCTGCCCTTTGACATGCTGTACACTGCTCCCACGAAGTTTTGCGGTTGTGGGCGATGTTGGTCGTAAGCAAACTCCTGTCCTGTGGCATGTTGCATTCTGCTCGTCGGACAACACCGCTGTCGGTTTCACCTCCTTTTCGCGCGCAGCACAACTGGGGGCGCTCCAAGAAAAGAAAACGGCGTTCTTTCAACTTTTTTGTCCCCCCACCAGCAGCAGAAGGTGTCCAATCCTCCGTTCCTTGGTTGACCGTTTTGCGCAGCCTACGGGACACAGCTCAGGACTTGCAGCGTGCCTCACAGCATGTGCTTGTCCCCGTCGCCCTTTGCTATCCCACGGCGCCCCCCACCCCCCTGGCTGCAGGTGTCCCGATTCCTCTAACCTGGTTGCTCCCGCCGTTGCCAGGCACACAGCTTCGGGGGTAGGACTCATGTCGTACCAGAAAAATTACAATCTGTCTGCCCCCCGCTCGCCCTTTTGTAGCGCCTCTCCCCCCCTCCCCCCCCCTCTCGAGGACGCATGGTCGATGGTCTAACCGCGAAAGCAGGCATGGAAAACATTAGTACACCCCGACGACACAAGCGTTTTGGTACACACACACAAAGAGTAACTCAGATTTCTCATGGTGCCCCTCTGCCTGCAACTCTTGATCCAGACATCCAGACCAGATTCATTCGAGCAGCATCATCAATCACGTCACTTCGTGGAGTGGTTGATTCCGTACCCCCCGCCCCCCCTCTCTCCAATACAGGTGTCCGACGTCCCCGAACCTGTTTGCCACCACCGGCGCCGGACATATCCTGACGGTGTGGGACACGTCAGACGTGTTTGAGCCGCTGTGCTCGATACCGGTCAAGACTCAGCGATGCTCGGGGACGACCGTGCGCTGGGGGCCCGGCGGGTGAGGTTGTTGTTGTTGTTGTTGTTGTTGTTGTTATCGTTATCGTTATCGTTGTTGTTGTTGTTGTTGTTGTTGTTATCGTTATCGTTGTTGTTGTTGTTGCTGTTGTTGTTGTCGTTGGTGTTGGTGATGGTGATGGTGTTATTGTTGTTGTTGTTGTTGGTGGTGGTGGTGGTGGTGTTATCGTTGTTGTTGTTGTTGATCATTTTCATGCGTTGATGTTGATGTTGATCTTGGTGTTGACTTGGTTTTAGCTGTCGTTAGTTGTTGATGTTGTTGCTGGTGATGCTCATGTTGGTGTTGTTGGTTGTTGATGTGGTTCACGTTGTTGTTGATGTCGTTGGTGGTTGTTTGTTTCTATTGGCATGGCCGCCGTTGCTGATGACGTTGTCGAACGAGATACATGAATCAACATACACTTGTGCACCCAAGTGGTTCAGATGTTAGTCCGTTGTGACGTTTGGGATGTGAGTCCGAGTCTCGGTGCAGTCACACAAACTGATCAATGACCATATGCATGCATGCGCGGACCGATCGAAACGCGCGAATTTGTTGACCCAACCAACCAAGTTCCGGCATCTGGGTCTCCGCGAGCACCCGGCCTTTCATCTTCTTCCTGGACTTCTTCGAAGGTGATAATTTTTTTCGGTCTTCGATTATTTGCTCTCGTTTTCGTTACGGCGATGATTTGCTCTCGTTTTTGTTGTCGCTGCTGCTGTTGCTGTTGCTGTTGCAATTGCTGCTGTCGTCTTCGCATTGAAAATCGCTCTATCCTTTATCCGGTAATTCTCCTTTCCCACTACTGTTCAGGGCAGAAACACAGTTTTCCTGTAGGATGATGCGCAATCGTTGACCTATCCCCATTTCTTGCTGGCCTTTTTTTTTTTTCAGGTGCACTAAGGGAGGTCTTATTCCGCGACCACGCCACCCAGAGCTTCTCAGGCAAAGGGCCCCGTAAGTTATTTTCTTTCACGTCCGTTTTTGTTGCGGGGAAGGGGGGGAGGGCGGGGGTCCGCAGAAACTGGACAGGGAGGGGGAGTGGTGTAGCATGACAACGATGCGGTCGCTGGTTTTGGGTATTCACCTGTGTGGTACCGCGTGAATTTCGTCTCTCAGTGATTTCGTGATGGGCGGCACTGCGTGCAGCTAGCTGCCCATGCTGCCGTAGCGAGTCAAGCTCTCCCGCCATCAAGGAAGTGCTCGTATTTTTTGTCCAACACTCGGACTTGTGTTTTGGTTTAGGAAGCGATCGTTTGTCTTGTTTCGCGCCACCTCTCACTCCGCGTCTCTCTGTCCCTGTGTTTTTTCTCTCTTTTCGCCGTCTTTCTGCCTGTCTGGTCTGTCTTAATCTATTTGTCTGTCTGTCTGTCTGTTTCTCTTGTCTCTTCTACACCTACATCTTGACCTTTCTTTCTATCCCTCCGTCTCTCTCTTTCTCCACCGCTCCGTTTCTCCCTCTCCCCACCCCCCTCTCTCTCTCTTCTATCTCTCTCTCTCTCTCTCTCTCTCTCTCTCTCTCTCTCTCTCTCTCTCTCTCTCTCTCTGTCGCTTGACGAATTCTTATATTCCGTTCTTGTTGGTTCTTTTCCGGAGAAACAGGCGGCGGTGCGGGGAATGTGCCGGCTGTCGTGCAGGAAGGCAGGGGCGTACGGGACGTTGTCCCGCTGGAAGATGCCACGTACGGCCTCGATGTCATGAGGAAACCCGGCCAGCCAGACCATGGACAGGTGGAGATAAGAGCATCGTTCCTTGGATCGTTCCTTGTGTTAACACCATTGTCATGTCTCTGTTCCTTGTGTTAAAAAGCACCGTTGTCATGTCTCGACAACGCCATCGCTTGTCTGCAGTTTCGACTGGATGGCGACGATGAGTGCGCTGCTCGTCTGGGTGAAGGGTACGTTAGCCTGCAAAATAGTCGATCTGGTTGCCGCTGAACTTGTTTCAAAATTGCCAATAAAGCCAGCCTTGAACCGTGGAGCAGGAACAAGAAAACGTCCTTGTGTTAACTTCCCTTTGTCTGTGTGACTGACCCCGGACGATACTTGAATTTTGTTGCCGAGATGTGTAGACTGGCATTGGAACACATGGGAAGAGCCAGACTAGACATGCGACGAACCGTAATAGATGGGACGAGCCAGGATAGATGAGGACGAACCGGAAAAGATGGGACGAGCCAGAATAGATGGGACGGATGCCCGCAAAAAAAAGACTCGTTGATGTGTGTGTTGTATGGTTGATCGTTTGCTTGATGACACGTTTGGTCGTTAGATGCCAACCATACCGCCACGTACCACGGCATGTGGGATGCCTTAAACGCCACTGGCACCAACTTTTTCTGGGAACGGCACATGAGCTGCGGTGCTTCGCGAAGGGGGCGCCCATTTTTGTTCATGCTTTTTCGGCCTCTGGCGTGTCGTCTTCCTAACTGCAGAGCATTCACCTGGCCGCTTGGACGGCGCCCAGCGGACAGGTCCGCGTGTCGGCTGCCCGCTGCCGGGAAGTTGCGCCCTTGCAGCACCACCACCTCGCCGCAGCGTTCCTGGAGCAGTGCAGGAAGTCCAAGAAATCGCAGCGCCTGCAGCTGCTGGAGCATCGGGTCATGCACCGTCTCGAGGTACATGTATGCGTTTTTTATTGGTGGAATCGGCCGCGCTAGCCAGCTGGCCAATGAAAATACGCCGCCAGTCTTTGTGCGGGTGAAAACAGAAGATGTATGTATGTGTGTGTTTTTTGTTGTTGTTGGCATCGACCGCGCTCACCGGCTGAACAATGAAAATACGTCAATATCCAGTGTTTGCGTGTTTTGTTATTCGCATCGACCGCGCTGGCTGGCTGACCAATCAAAAGACGCCAGTCTCAGCGCGACTGAGAAAAGAGAAGTTTGTGCGTGTGTATGTACAGTATGGGTTTTACTGTTTGCATCTGACTATGAGACCTATACCCGCTCCCCGTCCTCTCGAGGTCGCGAGGTCAATGGTTAAACCGCTAAGGGATGCACCTCCCCCCCCCTCCCCCCCC